CTTCAGCTGCTGCTCAGGTCAATGCTGCTTGGACACCCAGATGTGCCTAACCCAGGGCATCCCTTCATGACAATGTGGTGACTGTAAAACAGGATGGTTCTCTAAGACATTGGATTGCATCCACCCCTAGTTACCTCTCATTTCCATTAGGGTCCCAGTCCCTCTTGGAGGCTTATCCTCTTAGACAGAAGGCTGTGAGCCAAACACCTGGAAATATACTGTGTCTGTGATTAAAAGCAAGGCATTTTTCAGAGTTCAGTTGAGGAAATAAAGCACCAGTGCTTACATCATCACACTAGATGCTGACATCAACATCGGGTTATGATTGGTAAGAATGGAAACAAAACAACTGGTATAAGTGGAGGTCTCCTGCCACACTGGTTTCAATTCCCCAAACTGCTCCACTTCTGAGAAGACTCCATAAAGGTAAATTTGAAATATAGTCTGCTCTTTGGTGCAGGTACTTAAATCTGATAAACCTCTCCTGCGGCAAGAAAGGGAGGGTGGGGAGCATTCCATGCACCATTTGTTGAGGGTGTCTTGTTTAATTTGAGCAAACAGGGCCATAGACACTTTGCTGTCAGGCACTCATGAATGCATGTAGCCTTTTGCTCTAACCAGCTGCATTTACACAAGGAAAGCACACAGGCCAACTGGTCTAGCACACCCCATGTCCCTGCAGGGAAACTGCATTATCTTCTGTGTCACCAGGGCTACACCTGAGTAGTGGCACGGTGCCCCTCCATGCCAACCCCTTTGTTAGCAGACAGTAGCTGAGAGGATGCCAGCTTGCACACTCTAAAATCAGACCAGGGCAGTGACAACCCTATAGTGGGTTTTGTTGGGGTTTTTTCCAAAAGCTGAAATTTGATGATCCTGGTGAGTCCCTTCCAACTCATAGGATATTCTATGATTCTATGATTCTAACCATAGCAGGATGGGCCAGATGACATTTCTGCCTACACATTGATGGTCTCTATTTTAGCAGCATAGAAGTAGTGTTAGTTGGTAGACATGACAGATATCCAGAACTTACAGAGCAACTCTGTATGCAAACAGATTTCAGGCTGGCTTGGCTGCTGCTCATGTTCACCCACTGCCCTTATTACCTGCCAGTATCAGAGATTTCTGCACATTTCTGTTTCAGAAGTGAGAACTCAAGCATACTTCTGTGTTCTTGGGCTGGGCTAAGCTGCTAAAGCATGTAAATCTCTAGGAGTGAAAAAACAGGGGGCTAGTAGAAGACTCACAGTCAGGCATACACACTCCAACATAACATGCAGTATTTGCTCTAAGGGGTATCATTCCCATCGGGAGGAATGGTTTGTGTTTTGCAAAAAGCAAGGAGGAGCCACAAGGATGGAGATTCTCATGATTATTCCAACTCCTGTTCATAAACCCACTGGCAACCAGTCTCATCTCTCTGCAATGGTACAGGAACGAGCCTCTTCCCACAGCCCCAGGGCAGCCCTGACAGCAATCACAGCTGGAGCAGAACACAAATGGTAGCTGCCTGCACCAAAGGCGGGGCTCAAACCAAGCAGCTCAAGCCCTACACAGACCAGCAAGCAGAGGGCTCTGCATGAGGTACAACAGAACTCCTTCACTCAGCACGTCCCCACAGCAGCCAGCATTGCCCCCACACACTGCCCCCTTCCAGAGAGGTGAACACTCTTGGAAAGGACCAGCAGGCACAGTGTGCCTCTCATAGAGTACAGGGCTGGGCTCTTGGGAAAGCAGGAGTCCTTTGGTGGAGGGATGCCACTCTGCCACAGAGATATTCTCAGCTCTCAAGGAGACCCCAGATGAGAGGCACATTCCATGTTTCGGGCACACATGCTTGTTCCAGGCTCTCTCTCAGCTGGGGTTAAACAAACACAGCAGGCCCATCACACTTGGCCTTAAGCCCTTCTGACATCTCTCTCACACCTGCACAGCTCTGCAGGATGGAAATCAGGGCTGTGAAAGAGAGGACTGAAGGGAGAAGGAAGGGTGCGCTCTACCTTACCATGCACTGACCCTTCTGTACCCATCATCCTCAGAGCACACTTCAGAGCACTCCAGAGCAGCCCAGCAGCCTCCTTCATCCCCAAATTATGCCCTGGTCTCCTATGCACCCACCTGGGGACGAAGCTCCCTTTTGCCCTCTTCTCAGTGCTTGACAAGGATTATTTAACCCCACTTCAGAAAGCTTTGACTTCTGAACAGAGGATGCTCAGCACTTCCCAAAATATGTACCCTGTCAGGTGTCATTATGAGACCACCACTCCCTACCGTGGCCAGTGCAGTGTAATCTGTCCCTGCGTGTCCACTGGCTGTGGGCACTAGATGGAGCATTCAGATTGTTCTGACTCGGGGTCTTGCTGTCCTAAAACAGACCCCATTCAGGGCAGGCACCACAGCACAATGACTCCAAGCACCCCTATCACCCATCTGCACCCCTACATGCCTTCCCTGAGCCATGGGGCCAGGCAAATGTGCATCCACAACACTCAACGAGGCAATCTGCAGGCAGAACAGCAAGGCTGGTGCCCAGCATCCTCTGCTGCTGGAGGTTGCAGTGTCTGCCTTGTTACAGAACAGCCTGCTCTTCATGTCAGTCTCCAGTAGTATGTCCTTTAACCACAAGTGAAAGCAACCGATCCCCCACGAAGACACATCTGCTCCAAGTCCATATTACAACAGGGAAAAAAAATTACACCTTCAGCTATATAAACCAATAAAGACTGTCTGATTTGGCTTGCCCCTGTTGCTACTCAGCAAGCTTCCCACTGGGTTAAAGACTGGTGACATCTGCTAAAAAATTGTCAAGAGCAAGGAGAACAAAACTGGGTAATGAATCACACCAAGTGTTCAATGCAGCTGGAAGATGGAGGGGCAAGTCCACCCACCTCACCCCCAGGCCAAGGGTAGCCAGAACAGCCAGACAAGTGCTACACAGCAGGTGGCTCCAGCAAACGTGCACAGGGAAGCAGAGCAGCAGGCATGCACCTTCCAACAGCTATCAAGAAACGGTACATCACAGCAAAGGACACGATGTAAGGGGTTTGCTGCTGAGGGAGCCTCTTCAAAGTCACAAAATGGTAAAGTTAACTCTGCCCCCTTGTGCATCTACATCATGATACATCTACATCATGATACAGGCCATAATTAGGTGACATGCTTCTCCTCTTTTCGTCAGAGGCATATATAGCGGATACAACCCATCTCCCTGTCACCTGCAGCACAGACCTTTGGGACACCTCCATGGGCACCTCACACACACTCGGACTCATCCAGAGGGACCTTGTGCTAAGCAGGATGGGGAGGAGTTATGGATGCTCCTGGGGATCCTCCCAACAGACAAAGACGTTGGAGTACTTAACTATGCCTCTTCAAATCTGCAGCTCTGAGCCTATTATAAAAGCAGCTTAAACAGTCTGCTGAGGACAGCATTACTGTCCGGCTTAGGAGCTCGAAAACCATGACTCATCCTGCCAGACTGATGGGGGTTGCTTAGATATCACATGCTCACTTCTAGATGTGAACTGGCAAAAGCTGGGGAGGTTCTCAGTCCTGCTTCTGGTAACTGCTTTTGCTTTTCAAGGAAGAACTTCATTCTTTTCTCTGCTGTTAAACCAGAGTCTTCTCACAGGCACCCAAAAACTGGCAGCTCAGGAGAGTGCTGTGACACAGAAGCCATGTGGTCTCAACACAGGCAGCCTCTCTCCTGGCCTAGCTGATAAAATACAAAACTTCCACCCTACCTCCTTTAATGAATATATTTAACTAAGCACCTGTGGCCCGGATTTGGAAAAAAGTATCAGATGTACAATCACAGAGTTGAGTAACAACAGCATATTCAGCAAGTCCCTGAGCACAGGGACATTTGTACTCCCACCATCAGACCAGTTCTCACATAGCTGACATTGACCCCATCAACCTCTGGCAGTTTTCCCCCCAGTTTCAGTAAATCTAGCTCGACTCTGATCATGTGCTTCCACTAAAGCATCCACAGGCACATCGTCCTGTTTGTGCAACTCAGGCACCAGGTTGCTAGCATGATTTTAGCTGTGTCTCCCCCAGAGACGGGGGGTTAATGCCACTACAGCTTCATCACACCCACCCACCACCCCCTCCATCCCGGAGGGGTTGGGCAGCGGGGGACAGCGGGGGCAGTGCAGGGGTGCAGATCCATGCAGGCTGCAGGGCAGTGCTGGACCCACACCAGCAGCAGGAGCTGAGGAACATGAGTGCTCCCCAGAAGATGCAGAAGCCTGACACAGCAGGAAGGGGATTCCTCCTCCAGGAGACTTCCACATCCTCCGCTGCAGCATCCCCACTATGGCTCTGACATCCACTTCACAGCCACAGCCTCAGCTCCTCTCTTTAAGCTCTTACAAAATGAAAGGAATGGTCCTTCTAGTCCATCTCTGGTACCCTTCTCTCCAAAGCATTGTTTTCAGTAAGATGCAGAACAAAACAGGACCATAAACCTGGATCTGAGGAGTACTAGCAATATCCAATCCCAAAAGGCTGTGCTCAGTTCCACCCTCCAAGACTGATAAAAGCCCCTGCTGAGAAGGACCTTAGAGAAACATCATCGCGGACAGCTCTGCACTTTATTTTCTGTCTCTTTGTGGCTATTTCCTCTTTCAGATGTCCACAGAGTCAACACAATAGTGACTCTTCCCCTGTTCCCTGGTAGGAGGGAAATGTTCCACAGCTAGGACAAGGGTCTGGTTCAAAACTGACTCACTCACTGCCAGAGCTTTTTGACACACTCAGACAAGACCCTCCTCAAAGAGGTCCTGCTCCTGGCCACTGGCTCACTTCAAAGGTCCCTGACGTGGCTGTGACCTTGGCACAGTCCTGCTGAAAAAAACCAAACCGCACCACAGCCAACAGCAAGAGATGTCCACAGCTCCATCACATCACACACACAGAGCACCCACCCCAGCCCCATCCCACCCTTCTGGCCACGCATCCGTGCACACCCCCAAGAAAGCAGCTCCTGCTACCTTCGTCCCGCTTGCGCTTGTTGTTCTCGGTGCTGGGGGAGGCGATTCCCAGGATCCCACTGATGGAGTAGGATGAGCCAGCAGAGTCAGTGGTGACAGAGGACACCTGGGTGACAGATCCCGTGGAGGCTGCAAGGCAAGGACAGGCAGTCAGTCACAGGACAACATGGGCACCAACCTACCCAAAAGCCACTGGACCCCATGGCATGATGGAGGTGGGCCAGGGCTCTGCCAGCCACCATGGCTCCTCCAGCTCAGGAAGGACACTCACCCAGACTAACTACACCCAGTCCAACCCAGCTGCATGCCACAGCAGCCCAGTGCAGCAGTGGGAGCAGAGGCACGGTCAGCCCTTGCCCCTATCACAAGGGGCTGGGTGCATGCACTGTGAGATGGGAGGTGCTTTTCCTTTAGCAGTGAGATATCCCACCCCTCTTGAGGCTTGCGAGGAACACCCATTGCTTGGGGCAGCAGAAGCCACCCAGTGATACAGCAGCCCATGTCGCCAGCAAAGGCGGACAGAGCTTTGTGGGAACACAGCCATGCAGAAAGAAAGGAGCTGCCACAAAAAGGGTCCTGGGACAGGAACCTCCTTGGAGTGGAGCAACCCGCATTTCCTGTGCTAGGTGTGGTTCCTGCATCCTGATGAACCACCTGGCCAATGAAGATCCTGCACAGCTGGGGTTGCCCACGGATGGACAGCTGAATGGCCCTGAGGTTCCCCAAAATATGAATAAAATCCACTTGGCTTTGGTAGAGCCCTCAGGAAAGGGTACTGGGTGTGTCCACCAAGGGAGGTCACTCATCACAGCCAACATCATCCTGGAGTTGCCACACCACTCTGCAAACACTGTCCACATGATGCCGTGGGAGTCCAAGGTTGCAAGGAAGCAGGCAGAGGAGGAAGCACACCATCAACTTGATCAACTCATAGACTGAGCCTGCCCTGCCACGTCCTTGCATCCTAAAAGTCACTGTGCAGACCACCAGGACAGGGTGCAGAGATATGCTGCAGGACCACACTGAAGACCCCTAGCAACAACTCACACAGAGCACACTAGTGCTGCCTTTATCAACTCCAATCCCTGAGAAAAAAGATTTTTCTTCTCTTCCCTGCTCTTGTTTTTCTCTAGAAGAGACAGGCCTTAAGCCACCACAGCGAGATAAGGCATGCTTTTCCTCTGTGAGATTGTTTTGCCATTTCCTAGAGAGAAAGGCTGATGACATGGGGTCTGCAGTGTGACTTTCTGACAAGCCCAAAGAGCACAAGCGACTCTGCAACTTCTCTCTCTGTCTCAGCACATCCTTGCCAAGCATGTGGTACCAAGAGTTTCACCAAATCACAGGTAACAGCACAAAGGCAGAGAGGAGCTAGGGCCCCCAGACCATCTCCTGCTGGGCAAGGGCTGACCTGTGCCACGGTGGGTTTCATGGAACAGGGACAGAAAGAAAGCAGCCCTGAGCCCTGACCGAGCCCCTCCATCCCCGCCACATCGCAGCACAGCAGCATCTACCCCCCACAGAAAGACACTGTCAGCCAGGGGAAGGGCTGAGGGTGCCTCACCAGCCTGGGTGTCTCCCTGTGCCAGCATCACCTGCCTAAAGGCACAGCACCACTGCTCTGCAGCTGAATTAAAAGTTTCAGAAAGTTTTGCTACCTCTTCACTCAAGACTGCAACTGCACAAAGAATTATGGAAGGGATAGCTGATAGACGAAAAAAACACATTCAAAACTACTTACTGACTAATGATGCAGAAAATGTTATGAATAAGTATCCCTTTCTTGATTTATTACTTTAATTATCTGACATTCTATAGACCCCCATTAGTGGGGTTTTTTTGGTTTAGATTTCAATTTTCTGTCTCATGGTGAAAGCTATTTATCATAATAATCAGTAAAATTCAAAACCTTTTAGCAGTATTTATAAAATTCATTTACTATGTTCAGCCCTTGGAGAATGACAAAGAAGGCACATTAGCACGTGTGCTGAAGTGTTTTATGCAGAATTATCTGTCCATAAGAATGATTAAAAGTTCTCTAGAATATTTGTAAGCCATTATGTGTTTTTTTTAATATATTTTTTAAAAAAAGTTTTCCTTACCTATGCTGTGACTGGAGGCTGGTACCTGCTGATTGGGTGGCTGCTGCACCTTCGTCCGTATGATCCTGTGAGCAGTGGAAAAGAAACAACCACTTAGCATTAAGCACACAATTGTAGGGGGCATCAGACACTATTTTTTCAGTGCAGAACACCTATATCAATACAAAAATTCCCTTCATGTGTATGCTCCCCTTGTCATTCACGGAAATATCAAAGTCTGATGAATGGATCCAGGACTACATTTGTGCCCCCAGCCCCTGCCATTAGGGACATTGGGGTGACATTTCACAGAATCATTTTGTGATTTTATTCAGGTTGGAAGGGACTTAATGGGTCATCTGATCCAATCTCCCTGCTCAAGCAGGGTCATCCCAGAGCACATTACACAGGATTGCATCCAGATGGTTCTCAGAATGCTTCAGAGTTTGATGCTTTGGTGTCTCTGAGGACCCAGTCCTCACTACCCAGGAAAGTGACATCCATCACTATCTGGGCAACCGCCAAGCCAGCACCCCCTCCCCAGGAAGCTGGACCTCTCTGAGCCCAGAGGTCCCAGCAGGCTGAGGTTTGCACTCTTGGGTGATGGGACACTTTTGCAAGGCTGTCCCTAGACTGCCCCAGCTATGGCACTCACACACCTTAGAAAAGGAGCTGCTTAGCCAAATTATTATTAAAAAAAAAAAAAAAAGACATGTGGGAACTAATGTCAATCTTAAAACCTGAATGCCCACATTGTCATCACTGGGGACATCAGTCTCTGGTCTGATTTATATTTGCGCTAATCAGGAAAAATTCAGAGATACAGAAAAAGCAGTAGGCATGTGTGGTGGTGCAGGACAAAGGGCACCAGCTACAAAGAGAGATGCTGAGGAGATGCTACACACAGTGCTCACCTGCCCATGTGCTACGGAAAAAGAAAAGACAGGATCAGAAACACTTCCAGAGATCACACAGCTCTGCCTCTGACTGCAGCAGAGGTGGAAGGGGCTGGAAGGAGTCATGTCCTTGGCTCACCACACATTCCCCCACTTCAGGCACAGCTGGCACAGCAGCAGGGCCACAGTGAGCATTTCTTCCCTCTATGCCGGACAAACTCTCCCCCATTCCTGCCTGCCGTGTATCTGGAAGACGGGAGAGGAGGGGGTGGAACGGGCGTGGGGGTCACAGGAACACACAGCAGTTCCTTGCTGGAAAGCCCCGCCATGAGCCAGCACAGGGACCACCACTGGTGACAGCCAACCCCATCCCAGAAGAGAGTGTTCTGCCATTCCCTTCCCTTCCCAATCCTCAGAGGAGTCTGATGGAGTCTGGCAGGGGTTTGGTCTGTCCACAAGCCATCTTTTTGCTGCCAGACCCTGGGTGTCAGGCACGGTCAGTGTGTTGGTCCCAGCAACACAACCCTCAGGACAATCAGCCCAGGACAATGGGCAGGAACAGCTGTGACAGCAGCTTTATTGGGGGAGCCAAAGCAATGGAGCCTGCATGGGTGAGAGTGGAAACAGTCCCCTGTACAAGCCTGTCATGGTGAAAGAAGTGTGTCCAGGGCCTTCTGACACATAAACATCTTCATCTCTGGAGGGTTGGAGGGCTAGAGCAGTTTGAAGCAGCTGGACAGCTCTCAGCTTATTTGGGCAAAGCTAATCACAATGATTAATTAAGTCTTAATCACAGAGACTTGCTCCTGCTATGGAAGAGTGGCCTGTTATTAATATTAATGTTATTAATTAATAACAGTAATTATTATTTACTCTTATGTGGGGTTAGCAGCTAAACTCATCCGGTAAAAGGCTCCCTTGGCAGCGGGGATGTGCTGGGAATAGCCCATTCCCATAGCCCCAATGTTTCACAGGAGCACCGTTAGCATCCTAGGAGGGAACAGCACAGCTTCAGGGAAGCCCCCTGCACCATGGAGTAGGGGGACAGTGCAGCGGCCCTGTCCTCCTCTGTGCAGAAATGCCAGCTGCAGGAGGACAGGAACTATGCTGCAAGATCTGGGTGGGCTCAAGTGTGCAACAACCAGGCAGCCCCTGATTTACACCTCAGTGGAGAGCAAGAGCATCATGGGCACAGGCCTGCATCCTTCCCACTCCAGCAAAGCCTCAAAATATATACTCAATATTAAATATGAGCATAAAGATCACAGACTACTGGAACTGGAAGGATTTAGCATTTAAGCCAAGTGTTTTGATGTGAATTCAAACTTCTTTGTCACATGGCTGTTCAGACTGGGTTTTCAGGATGAGGTCCTAGGCCAACAAAAACTATACTCCAGCTACCCCAACTGATTACAACAGATTGCATGCATTACTTAAAAGGTATTTCAAACCTTTGAGAAAAAAAAAAAAGATTTTAGCAGATGAGAAAGAATTGGATTTCCAGCAAAAAAACTTGGTGGTGGATCATCAAATGGGTTTCTGATACAAAGGCAGTGGGGATGTGGGCATTCATGAGTGTGGAAACACACAAGAACACAGCAAGAGAAACATGGAAACTGCCTCAAAACCTGACTGGAAGCTACTTAAATCTCCCTTTTTCCTAAAGATGTGAATGCCCTTTTTGTAGTTTTTTATGAGATGTTTGAAGTTCTCCTATACAAACATAGGACTGCTTACAGCACCCACACTTCTCACATGACCCCATCTGACATTAATGGAAACAGAGCTTTCCCTGAATTATTTGATATTTTTCTTTGTTTTTCCTTGTATCTGTATTATTTTTCAAACTCTCTTTAAAACTGAAGACACCATGTCCATATTTACTACATGCTGCTCTAGAGCCTCAACAAGTCAGGGGTTCCCAGGCAACAGCAAGGGCCATGCGTGAACTGATCCACTTTCTTCCCTTAGGTACATGAACGTGTGACTCGATGTTCAGTCCATCAAGGCAGAGACTGCACTTTCTGCTAACGCTGGGGAAGCCACTCCGGCTACTCAAGCGGCAACTCCATGAATGCAAATCAGGGTGTGATAGCCAATAAAAGAATATTGCATCAATTTATTTCATGTCTGTGGACACAAATGAGACACTTTATAGCAAGCTGCATTTGAAGGATTTGCATGCAGTTGCACAAGTGAAAATCATCTCACCAGAGTAGTGAGGTGGAAGCCTGGTGCAGAGTGAAAACGAAAGAACTCTGCTTGCCGTGGGTGTGTGTGAGGCTGCCCAAGCACTCTGCCATCCAAGTATTCATCCTTTACTGTTGCTCTGGCAGGGCTGGAGCCATCATGAAGTATTTCACTGGGTTTTCCTAGCACCAGCCTTATACATTGCTCAACTCGGGAGGAAGTGGTGAGCACAGAAGGTGTACCAGAGAAGGTAGTAAGTTGGAGCCCCTCCAGACCCCCCTGCAAGCCCAGCCCTGACTGGTAAGGTTGTAGCAAAACTCCCAAACACAGGACTGAGGCTTCAAATGAAATTACCTTGCATTTTTACAAAAGCAATTCAAGGCCACTCAAGTGCGTCCATGTAACAAGCAGATGGTTGAGGTCCTTGGTCACCATTAACCAAACTCTCCTGGTGATATTCATGCTGAGCATAGGCCTGGGCCAACGTCACCAACACAAAACAGGTGTCAGGGGACAGAATGGCACCCATGCCTTGAGCTCCCCTGTTTCCCAGATGACTGCCACCCTACTCAATGGCCATCTCAGCTTCCCTTCTGGGCAAAGCATGTCCCACTGAACCCCCACCACACTGAGCAGAACCGGGGCTTCATTCAAAGCAAACACACAGGGTCGTTCCCAGCAAGGTTCCCCCATTCACAGACTCGGGAAAGAATGGGAAAGAAGCAAAAGCTGGTAGCAGAACCTGTCCACTCCTAGAAAACGCTCATCGTCTGTGATGCTTCAGCCACCGAAGCAAGCCCACAGCTGCTCCCCAGCCCCAAACACCTCAGGGAAACACATGAAGTTGCTTTTCTTGCAAACAGCCCCAAACACCCAGTCATACTAAAAGACAAGGATGCAAAGACAGTGCTTCCGTGGAGCATCCACCCCAGGACCAGACCGAGCTTTACCTGTTAATGGAACTGACACTAGGCACGGTGTCATTGTCACACACTCGCTCAGCAAGGAGCCTGTCCCTGATCTCCCAGGCAAACATGGTGGGATTTTGGCGTTTGTACTCTGCAATTTTTTCGACAACTTTGGGTGTGGCGACCTTTGGTTTTGATCCTCCAATCACTCCAGGCTTAATACTCCCGGTTTCATAATACCTGGGACAACATCCAAAACAAAGCTTTAGTTATCACACACAGACAGAGAACATGCTCTGAGATTTATAGAGAACATCACTTCAAGGTAACCAAAGCCCAGCAAAACCTCAGATACATCTTCACTTTCACATACATATTTTCTGCCTATGTAGTGCTTTATCACCTAATAGATTAACTTATAGTAATTGGAATTGGGCCTCTGGATACAATATATATTTTTCTGTAATAGCAAGACAAAAGAAACAATGCAAGATTAAAGGGCATGCTGAGATCCAAAATTAACTGAAAATGTGTGTTATTAATCAGCAGTACTGGCAATAATAAAAACAAATCACACCAAAGAACACTTTTTGCAGTGGACTCTTCGGTAGCAAATTACTGCTTCTACAGAAATTCTCTGTCATTAATATCTACAGCTTGCTATCATTTCAGAGTAAAATAATGGCTAGGTATTCTATTTTATTTGTACATCTGGAATACCTATGCCAGCATATCTTTTTTCTATTTTATGGTTTGAATATGCATATTAGGGTTTTAATAGTTCATATTTTTTAAATGTATTTTTTTCAGCATTATGTTTTCACTAGTATCAATCACAATTTTTGAGGGAAAGGGAGCTGCCTGCACTCCAGAGGGATCCAGTTGATGCGGGGATTGGTTTCTGTGACCAGCTCTTCCTCAGGTGCAGCATCATCACCCCCACCAGCAACTCTGCTGATGCCATGCCCCCAGGAAATGTGGAGAATGGGATCCCTAAACCAACAGAAATCTGGCAGAATTCTTCACAAATAAAGCACACAAGAACAACTGCTTTTAGTAGTTTTACAACAATACACCGAGATTCCTGAGCCAGGTGAGTCTCCCCTTTTAATAAACACACGCTGTTGAGAGCAGAAGTTGCACCTTGTCTGATGAGGGCCAGAATGGAGACCAAGAATGAGACCACGCTCTTCTCTGCTGTGGTCGGAATGCTCCATGCAGAAGGCTGTTTCCCAGACCTGCACTTCTTTGTATTTTGAGACCAGATAAAAAACAAGCCCCGTGCCTACCTTCAGCCACCACACCAGCTGCCCCAGTTCTGCACATCCCTTTCATATAGAGCAGACCCCAACTCCGTCAGCGTCTCGACCGGACGCCCACCGAGCTGCACTCTCAGGAGCTCAAACATGACCACTTGCTGCTCCGCACCCGTATTTCTAACTCAGAAGAAACTCTCAAGCAAGAATATAAGACTGTTTATTAATATATTTTCTCTGCAGCTATCTGACATAATCATTACATAAAAAAACCCCAGAAATTAATTCCCCCATCTTTCCAGCCTGAACAAAGCACAAACAGTCTGCACAGCCAAAGTCTGCCTCACTGAAACACACAACTGTGTTCATCAAATTTCTGCCAGGCTACCTGTCTTCCAGTCTTTCTGTATGCAGGGCCTAAAAGTCCTTTAAAGGGACCAACACCAAATTGTTCATACATGTTCTCAGATATTCTGGGTGCAGATGTTGACATGGAGCTACCAGTCTCCATGAGCCATTAAAGTAACTCTAAAGCATTGAGTGTCAGGAATGGGTTAACCCTCCCGCTGCCCCTAAATGCAGCAGGTTTTAGGTCAGAGAGGCAAAATCCAGCACCTTGTGAACTTTCACAAGAACATGACAAAACAATGGCAAATACGGCCCATAAACCTTATAAAACCTTGCACCCTTTATAAAACCTTGGCTGCTGGCACCTCTCCTGTGAGGAGGATGTAGAAGGCAGCCAGGCAATACCACAAATGCTACCAGACAAAAGTCACAATTTTCTTAGATCCAGTCAGAACAATGGATTTCACAAACATTTCTCAGTGTTTTTCTCCAACAGCACTCGTGGTCAGTGCCCTGCACCACAGGCCAAGCCTGGCAGAGAGGAGCATCCCCAGCGGCACCAGACACCATGGGGCACATGCCAGCTGATGCTTTCCCACAGCCAATCACCACAGTAGGAAAGCCACGGTAGTGAAGGGCCTTGACACCACAGTGCTGTGGCTGTGGCCAGCTCACCAGAGGACGAAGCCCTGGTGCCCTCTGGGCAGCAAGACCACTCTCAAGCTAACTCTTTAACCCCTGCCCACTCTCACAGCCTCAAGCCATGCCAAAGCACACGTGAGCCCATGGGAAGGCTTGACTTGCGCAAGAGGTGCAGGATTGGGCCCAGACCCCCTTCCCTGGGCACTGGGGGAACTCACAGTGATGGGCACAGCCCTCACACTGCACTGCTGCTGACATCCCTCTCCTCTCCATCCTGGTAATGAACCTGGGGGCAACTGCAGGGCCTGCAGTCTATACAGCTCTGTCATCCTTGGCTCTCATCTCCATTTTAAAGGCAAGAATGGCTGCACATCTTTTCATGCACATCAAGTCAAGGCCTTTTGCTCACGGAAAGTTGCCAAAGCAAGTGGAGGGTGGGCACGCCCACGGCACTCTCCTCCGAGGGGTGAGAGCTTCATTTGCCCTGCAACTGCTGGTTCCCTGCCTCTGGGTGTTTTTTAAAGTTGCGCTGAGGACTGAAAAATTCTAATAATAAAATTCCCAGTGTAAGGATTCCCATTTTTCACACACATGAACACATATGAAAAAAACACACACAACACAGAGCTGCAATTACAGAGACATTTTACCCACTGTACTTATTAGTTATGAAAATAATGAGCTATGAAATTCCAATTTATTGTTGACAACTTTAATGACAGAGCTCTGGAGCAGAACTCTGAGCTCTACAGTGCAAATATATCTAGCAGTAGACCTAAACTGTCAAAACTAAAACCACCAGACTTTTTCCTGGTGGGTAAATAAATTGGCAGTTTCCAAGCTATATGTTGGTCCTGATGGGAATTGGTGGCAATTCTGTTGCAGTAGTGAGCATCGCCAGCCAAACCACACCAGCCAGGCAGGGAGCTCAGGCCTCTGCTGGCTGCGGGTGCGGAGCCATAAGTGGGTGAAACAGCCTGTGATGGGCAGGATAAAGCCCATGGAAAGTTTGCCTTTATAAAACAGTCAAGGCATCTGTGTTTTCAAAAGTCCACTGGGAAGAATGCATGTAACTTGCCAGTGAAGACATGTAACTTCAAGGAAGGCATGAGAAAAAAAGCAGGGACACTGAGCACAGGCAGCAATGCCGGTTCCTGCAGCTCTGAGACTGAGCAGGGCTGTGGGGCTCATCAGTTTGGGCAGGTAGAGGTAAGGTGGATGTGGAGAAAGTAGTGACAAGAACTCCAAAACCAGAGACCTATGAACCTGACAAATCTGAACGCTTAAATGACCACTCCTTGGTAAGAAATGTTGTTAATCCAACAGATCCCATGCATGATACTACAAAACAAAAAAGCCTTAACAGTCTCTGCAGCTATGCTGTGTCCAGCAAGTTGGTAAGAAATTGGGAAAGAAAAAGATAGTTAAAATAAATGTAGTAAAATTCTAAACAATGAAATTAACTGGGAAAGTTTAGCAAACATATTGGGAATTAACTTTTCTAGATGAACAAGGAAAACATACTCTGAAAAAAAAATTTAAATTTCCCTTAATATAAGTTGCCCAAGTATGTCTGAATACCTGGGGTTAAAAACCATTTTAACATCATAATTTGCACTAATTAGGTTTAGACTTGTTCACAAAATTTAAAAATAAAAAAAATAAAAATAAAAAAGCGAGGATGGTATTTTTTACCAAAATCTACGTCAAATTTTAAAATGAAACCAGGAAATAAAATTAATTCAGAGTTTAATTTCCTGTGCCATAGTGTTTGGAGCAGCTCCCACCTGAATAGAGGGCTACTTCCAAAATAGCTACAATTAAGATGGTTCCTAGTTTCTTATTGTAACCTGTACTTTCATAATCCATCAGAAGAATGGAAAAAGATGTTTAATCATAAATAGTGGGACATATGCAGAGTAGCCTGTATGAGTGCACGCAATGTTGATGAAATGTATAACAATAGTATTGTTAAAAGACAGTTGTCTTCAGGAAGCAAAACAAGTAACTTCCACAACTTCTACTTTTTTTTCACATTTTGCTGAAGATGACTGCCAGATTTCCTCTCCTGTTCAGAACAGACAGCTGCAGGACATATACCATATATACAGCAAATACACACGGCGTTCTGCACTTTGCATTAGAGTTACGTACAAGAAGCTGTGAAACAAGACACAGTGGCTCTTTCTTTCCACATCAGACATATAAACCCACGAGTGATCAGGAAGCCCTTCTCCTCACTGGACTGATCTCCTGATCACTACAAGTCTCCGTTTGTTTGTAGTCTCCAGTTCAGGACCAACACCGACACTCTTCTCTTGACGGACACAGAAGGATTCGCCGTCCCCCCATTACCTGCCAAGTATTTTGCTGACACAGCCATGGCTGACGCGGAGCTGCCGGGAGATGTCACACGGTCGGACCCCTTGATGGGCGAGCTCCACGATCCTTTGGCGAACGACATCTGGGAGGGGGCGGCCATTCACAAAAACACCCCCCAGCTGATTCACCCCTCCATGTCCTGAAACACACAGGGGAGGGGGAGAAGAGCAGGAGAAGAGCTGTGTGAGAGTTTTTGACGTCTCTGCAGAGCAGAACCCCCAGTCCCAGCGCTCCCCGACTCTTGGCATCGCCTCCCCAGCATCGGTCTGATTTCCCTGAGCAGAGCAGGAAGGCGGCCGCGCTGCCGCAATGCCACTCGCTGAAGGCACACCGGGGCCCCTCGGGGAAGATGGCCACGGGGAATCACGCAGCCGTGCCCGGCACCCCGGGTTAACCCCAATCCTCCTCCCAAAACCTCCTTCACCCAATCACGAACTCCAGGGCAGGTTTGGTGCTGCCCCGTGAAGCGGAGGCTGGTCAGAGCCTCTGGCTGGTCAGTGGAAAATAAGGCTGCGTGATCGCTCAGCCCACACAGTGCCTCTGTCTGAACATAGGAGATACCTGAAATGAAACACGCTGTGGTTTTGGTTTTGTTTTTACAGATGCCTTGAATTAATCAAGGGAGAAAAGAGGAAAAAAAAAAGAGGAAAATAAAAAGAGCATAATTCTGCTCCTAAAATTTGCGGCAGCCTTTGGAGATATTATGATCCCACAAATAAAGCATGAACACTTGGGCAAGCCCAGTATATTACTCCTATTTGAACAGATTTGCACCGTTCACCTTTAGCAAGGTGAATCATATATATGGTGGGAAACGGGATCCTCTAGGAGGAATAGCAATGAAACTGTAAACCCCATGAACACATAATAATCCCATGTACCAGGAGGTAATATAATTAACCCTAGTGTTGTTATTCATCCAAACTACTTATATTACAGAGGAGTGGAGAAGCTGAAAACAAGCCACAGGGGCAGTACAGATGCCAAATCTTGGGAAAAAAAAAAAAAAAAGAAAATCTCTCTATTTGCACAGGGCTTGAACTGTATTGAATAAGTTGACAAGCCAAACGCCTCAGTGTTAAAAAAACATAGATTATAGAGAGCTATTTTTATTTAAATTCGGTCATTTCACTATTGATTAACTGCTGTCAAACTTTGCAAACACCTTCTAAAACTGTCAGGACACATAATGAACCCACATGAAAAATGTGATGCTAAGCCCTGTGGTGAGCAGACAAGCGCCTGCTCTGCTTTCTCCGGTGCGAGAGGCAGACTGTGCCAGCGGCTCAGCCAGCCGCAGGCTCGTGCTTCCCTTCGAGTGCCGGGAGTCCGGAGCGGACTCCGGGGACGGGACTCCTGACCAGGGAGCTGCCGCGGCGCCCGGGACGCCGGGGTGGGGGTAAGGGACAACTCGGTGGCGGAGGCGAACGGGAGTTGCCCCACAAGGCTGCGGCGAACGAGACCTCGGGCTCCTCACCTCTTCTCAGGGCTTTAAGTTCGGGGAATCATTCACAGTGCACTCAGTGTGAGTGGGAAGGTCCTGTGGTGGTGTTCACGCAAGGGGAGAGGGAAGAAGGGGAGAACAGGACAGAAGAAAAGAAAAAGGAAAGAGAAGGGAAAGGGAAAAGAAAAGGGAAAGGGAAGAGGGTGGAAAGAAACGGGAAAGGGAAAAGAAAAGAGAAAAAGGATGGAATGGGAAAGGAAATGGA